TCTTGAATTGCATGGTCAGCATGGTCAGCATGTCTTTCGGTGCAGCATCTTGGCTTGGGGGGATCCGATCTCTTCTGTTCAACACCATGGCCCCAAGCACCCTCATGTCGGCGGCAGCCCTGGCGGCCTGCGCGGCCCCAGCGATGGCTTTCGTGCCAGCCGGACAGACCTTGAGGGGCAGTTCCAGCGGCCCTGAGCCAATGGCCAGGGCTCAGACCCCGTCCAGCACAGGGATCTACGCTTCCGCGGGCTTGGCGACGGCAGCTGCCGTGGCCGGAGCCACAGCCTTGGCCAGACCTGTTCAGCGAAGGGTCGAGCGAAAGGTCGTGGGAGTTTGCTTGCCCTTGACCGACAAGTTTGACCCGCTGGACCTGGGAAACACAGATGCCAAGATGGAGCGATACAGCGCTGTGGAGATTAAGCACGGGCGAGTCTCAATGATTGCCGTAGTTGGCTATATTATGCCAGAAATCTTTCGCTTCCCAGGCTGCGAGGATTTCAAACACGGCTTATCAGCGCTTGAGAGCATTCCTTTCGAGGGTTGGGTGCAGCTGCTGGCTCTAGTGGGTGCCCACGAAGTTCTCGTGAAGCCGCGTGAGGGTGGTCTTAACAGCCAGGACTTCGGCTTGGGCACGGAGCTTTTGGACGGCATCGACGACGAGGAGCTGGAGCGCAAGCAGACCTCCGAGCGCAACAACGGCCGCCTGGCTATGATCGCAATCCTTGGCCTCATGTGGCAGGACGGAACCTTTGGCGAGGCACCTCTGAGCTACATGAACAAGTACGGCTTCTGGGGCGAGCCTGTGCAGTTCATTGTCTCGCACATCGCAAACTGCCAGTCCTTCAGCGGCAGCTACGTGAACAACGGAGGCCTGTGCGCGCTTCCCACTCGCGGGCGCACCACCATGCATGCCATGCAGAAGCTGGCTGAGGGCGAATACGTCGAGTTGGAGACCTACCCCAAGGAGATGGAGATGTCTCCCTCTGTGCCCTTCCTGAGGTATCCGCAGGTGCTGAAGGGCTGGGTCGGTGAGGAGAAGGGCTTCGACCCTCTCGGTGTCACTGATGCCCTTCCCGTCTACTGGGTCCGTGAGGCAGAACTGAAGCATGGCAGGACAGTCTTTCGCATCTTGTGCCGCCCTGCTTTCAACGGCTTCTTTGTGTTGCCAGTGGCTTTCAGGTTCCCGAATCCTCGTTTTATAATGGTTAGATCGCAGTGTGCCCCGCCCGGCAGGATTGCCATGCTCGCCACAGTCGGATGGATTGCCACAGATTTGGGCTTCCGCTTCCCCGGCGAGAAGTTCCAGGCCGTGGCCAACAACATCGAGGCCCATGATAAGATGGTCGAAGCCGGCTACATGCTCCCCTTCTTCGGTGCCATCGGCGTCTTCGAGCTGTTTGCTCTGTGGCTTTTCTTCCAGTCCTGGCCCATTGGCGAAGGCATCAACCGTGAGGCAGGCGACTACTGGCTCGGCAAGCAGTTCCTGCCCAAGGACCCCGCGAAGGAGAAGGCCCAACCTGCTTTGCAACGGGTCCAAACACCACGATTGCATGCACACGTTGCGGATGTGCTGGTCTCGCATATCCCCAGTTCTTAGATTTACCCCACTCTACTCCGCCAAACACATGCAGGACATGCGGCTGAAGGAGTTGGAGAACGGACGCCTGGCGATGTTTGCCTTCAGCGGCATTGTCACCCAGGCCGTCATCAC